TTTAATAAATAAGAAATACGAAATTATGGCAATACTGTTTTCGGTTTTTACTGAAAGAATTTCAACCAACTTGAATAATTATTAAACTAAATCCTTGTAATGCATGACGATTCGACGAACTATAACAAAATTAATGTCGGACAGGTTTAAATATTTCTTGCTGACACGGTTTGCATAAAATTTGACTTGGGTAACGATAACCGAGTCGCGATTCGAGCTGCCAATGTCAGAACCGGGGGGTACGAGGCTTCGTCGTTTCCCGTTTGTTTCGCGTAATCAGCGGCCCATTGTACCCGCTATCGGCGATAAACACGAATGTGGCGAGCCACGGCTGGATGATCCTCGACTAGAAAATGGAATTTCATTAAGCGTCCCCGGGAACGATCGCGGCCAATTCCGGTGTTCGGTTAATTACGAATTTATTCGTTCGCTCCTGGCGGCCGCGTGTTTACCGATTCATCGGGCAATTCCGAGCGGTAATGCGCCGCTTATTCTTCCCCCGGACTCGACACTCGAATTTCGCCGATTGTCCAGGCCTGAAATCCGGGCCGAACCGGGGCGGGGGTCTCGACCCTAAAATCCCCCCCCTCCCACCCTCCCATCGAATTTTCAGTTTATGGAAATCGTTCTGGATTTGCTCACCGGTTCAATAAATTCTCGATGGCCGCGTAAGTGTCCTGCAGATTCAAATCCCTCGACTGTCTGGCTGGCATTATTGTAGGCTCCAGCTCCGACAAGTTTGACGGAAGTCTATAATTGAATTGGAACGCAGTGGAGAACACCAGGCTTCCCCTTTTGTTCATCGTAACCGGAACGGAGACGCCGATCGTGAACTGGAAAATTGAACCGGCGGTAAGAAGAATTGTAAGAAAAAACTACTTTAGAATCGTCGAGAAATTAATGAAATACCTGAAACAACGACCTCTCGTTGAACAGTAGAATATTTTGGCTCGTATGAAGGAAAGGGGACAGCGAAACGGCGATGAAAAATAAACGACGCATGTTAATTTTCGTCGAAAGACTTGTACGATTTTTGTATCACTGGTCAACGAACCGGCCGCGAATGGCCTCCCGTCGGCGGCGCGTCCGCTACGAGTTCATGGCGACGTGATAATGAACGCTGGTATTCGCGCCGGAAGACCGGAGTAGGCAGGTATGGTGTTTGCGTTCGATGAATATTCGAAATTATAGTCCGGCGACAAATTTTGGCTCGCCGGACTGAATTATTGGACAATTTTTAGCCCCGATGCGTACATAATTTTCCTCGAAAAATGCACGCGCCGCGCGAAACCCAAACCGCGGTCTTTAATAATTTACAGAATTGTAAAACGGAAATTCGCATAAAATGCTTGCATACAGTATTTATGGCCGCGTCGAACATTCGTAGACACCGTGTAATTTCCTTTCGGAATAAATGATTTCGACCGTAAGTATTACAATACGATATGATATTCCATGTAATAATTGTCATCATGTTCGATGCTGTGTTTCATTTAATGGTTGACGGAACAATTGATACGAGCAGAGGATCATTTCGTATATTCATGCGTT